TAGTGCGCAGCAACCGCAAACTCTGGAACTCTGGCAATCCATGCGCCTCCATCTTCAAGGGTGATAGGATACAAGGAAGAGCCACCGCACCTGACCAAAATTTTATTTTACTTTTGAGATAGAGTCTTAACTTTGTCACCCTTGGTAGAGTGCCATGACATCATAGCTCACAGCAGCTTCCAACTCTTGGGCTCAAGTGATTCTCTTGCCTCAGCCTCTCAAGTAACTGGGACTACAGGCACCCGCCATAACACCTGGCGATCTTTAGAGACGGGGTCTTGCTCATGTTCAGGCTAGTCTTACACCTGTGACCTAAGAGCAGTCTACCCACCTGAGCCTCCCACAGTGCTAAGATTACAGGCATGAGCCACCGAGCCCAGCATGACCAAATTTTATTTATTTTGATTTTGTTTTTTGTTTGGAGATAGAATTTCACTTTGTTGCCCTTGGTAGAGTGCCATGGCATCATACATAGCTCACAGCAACTTCAAACTCTTGAGCTTAAATGATTCTTTTGCCTTAACCTCCCAAGTAGCTGGAACTACAGGCACCCACCACAACGCCCAGCTTTTTAGAGACAAGGTCTGGTTCTGGCTCAGGCTGGTCTTGAGCCTGTGAGCTCAGGAAATTCACTCCCCTTAGCCTCCCAGAGTGCTAGGATTACAGGCATGAGCCACTGCACTGGGCCTGACCAGAATTTTATTTTTCATTTTATTTTATTTTATTTATTTATTTTCATTTTATTTTTTGAGACAGTCTTATTATGTCATCCTCAGTAGAGTGTCCCAGCATCACAGGCTCACAACAACCTCAAACTATTTTTTCTTTTTTTGTAGAGACAGAGTTTCACTTTATCACCTTCAGTAGAGTGCTGTGTCATCACAGCTTACAGCAACCTCCAGCTCCTGGGCTTAGGCAGTTCTCCTGCCTCAGCCTCCCAAGTAGCTGGGACTATAGGCACCCGCCACAATGCCCAGCTATTTTTTGTTGCAATTTGGCTGGGGCCGGGTTTGAACCTGCCACCATCAGTATATGGGGCTGGCACCCTACTCACTGAGCCACAAGTGCCACCCAGCAACCTCAAACTGTTAGGCTTAAGCCATTTTCTTGCCTCAGCCTCCCAAGTAGCTGGGATTACAGGTACCTGCGACAAAGCCTGGCTATTTTTTGTTGCAGTTGTCGTTGTTGTTTAACTGGCCTGGGCCAGGTTCCTACCCGCCAGCTTCAGTGTACTGTGTTTCCCCAAAAATAAGACCTACCCCCAAAATAAGCCCTAGCAGGATTTCTGTGCATTTGTTAAATATAAGCCCTACCCCAATAATAAGACCTAGTGATGGGCATGGCTATATAGCGTATCTGCATAGCCACGCCATGAATTTCAGCGCGGAGTCGTAAGGAAGACTGGAATACCTTTTTATCTGCCACAGCTCCTTTCTTGAGTTCCTACTTGTGCCGCCGGTATGCATGTGGTAACCGCTGTTGCAGGCATCCTATTGCACCCATGCAAATGGCTAGGGGAAAGGAGTTCACACATCACTAGTGCCAGCCCCACCAACAAGGTCGGCTCCCCTGGTCAGGTTCCAGAAGAAGATAACTTAACTGTATTTGAATAAGTTGTATTCAAGATTGTATTCTAGATTGTTGTATTATACTTAATAAAAATAAGACCCTGAAAATAAGCCCTAGTGTGTTTTCTTGAGAAAAAATAAATATAAGACAGTGTCTTATTTTCGGGGAAACACGGTATGTGACTGGCACTATAACCACTGCTACAGGTCCCGAGCCCTGACCAAAATTTTAAAAAAATATTTAAAGGGTCTTGATCAGTTTCTTAGACGCATCACATTCTAACCTCATCTTGCTAGTATTGTGGTTTTGCCCTCAGTAGGCCTCTTTCTCTCAACAGGCCTCATTTTCTTTTCTTTCTTTCTTTCTTTCTTTTTTTTTTTTTTTTTTTGAGACAG